CTGGTGAATCCAGAGAGGCAGCAGAGGCAGCTAAGAAACTAACCGGGTTAAAGCAGAAAACTAACTGGGTTAAAGCAGAAAACTAACCGGGTTAAAGCAGAAAACTAACCTGGTTAAAGTAGAAAACTAACCGGGTTAAAGCAGAAAACTAACAGGGTTAAAGCAGAAAACTAACAGGGTTAAAACAGAAAACTAACAAGGTTAAAGCAGAAAACTAACAGGGTTAAAGTAGAAAACTAACAGGTTTACAATAAAAACCTAACCTGGTTAAAGTAGAAAACTAACAGGGTTAAAGCAGAAAACTAACAGGGTTAAAGCAGATATCTGCCATGTTTCTATATCCGTCCTTCCTTACATGCATGTATATTATATCTCCTATATTTCTCCTGCTGGAAGAAAAAGGCTTTTAAAAGTAAAATCTGCCCAGTTTGTATTTTCATCCTTGTAGCTGAGATTCTGCTGAGAACTGCTGATAAAGTTGTTCTCTGTGGGGAAGCAGCGCTTGTTAACTTATCCACACACTCTCTGGTTTATAACAAGCCAACGTTTTTCTCCGACCCCACCATCTGCTGCAAGGGCGAAAAGCAGCCATTTAAAAAGTGGTTCCACTTGGTTCTGGAAGCTTATTAATCTGTTGTTTTTTGGAAACAAGCCTTAGAGACCGACATATTCAGTTCTGCTTGTAGTATTTGGTGTAAATTTCTAAAAGTTGCTGATTGAAATGATTAGGTCCTCTTCTCGGCATCCGGTCGGGTTCTGGAGAATCCTGTTTTTTTTACATCTCAGGCCCCTATTTTACAGATATTTTGTATATTTTGGTGAGAAAAACAGATTAAAATCTGAAAAGTCTGATCAACTCTAGATTAGGAACTATGATGCTGAAGAACATTATGACAGAGAGGAAACGGCTGCAGTTCTTTTGTTGGAGCTGTTAGCCTGGCACTGCCTTAGCCATGCTGGGGCTCTTCTTCTTCTTAGTTTTAATGGTGATGTTAGCGCCACCAGCTGGCACAACAATGTTATTGCAGCATTTATTTGTCTGTTTAAAAAGTGTGCATCTATCATCCATCCATTCATACGTACATAATAAAATACAACTTTTCAGGTTTCCAATTCAGATTGTATAGAAAACGTTTAAAATTCATGTAATTAATGTAATCAGATTACATGACCCATTTAAATGATCTTGTTAAATGCTATCAAAGTGATTTACTTCAGTAAAATACTTGAGACATGTGAAATCTTTCTAGTTACAGTTGTCTTAATTTAGTGGTGGCAGGATTTAAGGATTTTCTGCCTCTGAGGTAAAAATAGAGATAAAATGCAAATGGAAAAGTTGTTTCATTAAAGAACTCTGCAGATTTTTGGCTGCCAGGAAGAAATTAGTTTTTCTGGTTTTGCAGAAAGATGATGTTCAGGACTACATATTTATTTTAGCTCACCGTGTGTTGCATCCAAGCAACTCATTTTATCACTGAATATAGGTCAGGAATGTATTATCGCTCCACACACACATTTAAATCCACCTTTTTCTGTCGGATTCCTTCTCATGGGTGGCAGGTGATTGAACCTGGGACTCCTGCAGAAAAGCTGCAGTTTGTTGGGTCCTCTGTGGAAAAGGTTCATCAGAAAGAGGCTGCAGCGGTGACTAAGAGGTTGGCACACCTAAATGAGAAAACGCAGCCTACCTGCGTGGGCACATTTATATTTACCACCTATAACTGTCATCTGGGTCGCTTTGCATAATCTGCTGGAAATGTGAGCAACCTGGGGCTGCTTCTGTCAATTCTGCCTTTTTGTGTTACAACAGATTTTTTTTCCAAAAATAAAAACAAATCCTGGTGACGCCACGTCACGCAATCTGCCTGATGATGAGTCACGTAGGTGATACGGGTGTTTTTTTTGCTATTTAAAGCAGGAGCTAAAACATTTACCCCACACAGCTGCGTCGCTCTGCGGTCGACAGTTTGACACTAATCAGGTTAAAATCCTGCCCACACAGCAACAAAGGAGAACGCTAGTCTATTTTCAGGTTCTGCACTGCATATTCTCCTCACGTATTTGGATATTTGTCACTTTTGCTCATTCAAACAAACGAGGAAATTGGGCTTTGCGGAAGCGCAGCAGCTTTGACATTTAAAAAGGTGCAGAATGCATGCATCTTTAAATTTAAACTCCCACTTGAATGCTGATGACATTTACAACTCGGAGGAAAGAGAGAAAAGAAAGTAAAGTAGAAATTAGACGGCGTTGATTTGATGGGGAAAGATGGATGGATGCTGCAGAGCGACACTGAAAGGTGTGTGAGAGTTTGTAAAACGTCCAGGTTTAATAATTTACGCCCTCTTACTTAGCACAGGGGTCGGCCGTCCTGACCGGCCGCAGGCTCACACACAAAGCCACTTCCACAGCCCGGCAGCTGCAGAGTCTGTTTTTAACTCCTGTGAAAAATAGGAGTTCCTCTTTTCACCTTTTCACCAAAATGGAAGCTTTACTGTGAAATCTTTAACATTTAAAGTGCTTTAGATCATAAAAACATCATGCAGTCACCAATTATGACACAAGCAATAAACAAAATCACCAGTCAAATACACATTAAACATGTTGATCCAGTTACTACTAATCAAAGGCAGCTTGGTAACACTTTATTTGAAGGGGACATGAAGGAGTCTTCATAAACGTTTGACTGTTGTCATGAAGTGTAAAGACTGAAACTTTTCATGCAGAGCTGCATGAAAAGTTTCGTTAAAGGGCCATTAACAGTGTCAACTTTGTGTTGAGTGTCATTATTTACACAATAATCCAAAGTTGACACTTTTAACAATGTAGGTTTTAAGCCTGGATGTAAAGGAACTCAGTGTTTCAGCTGCTTTGCAGTTTTCCCATCTCAGCCAGCCCACATCCATCAGAGCTGCTCGTTCCTTTGTGCCTGATGTTCAAATTAAACCCAGCAGCTAAACATCCAGTGTCAGGTTGGTCTGACACCAGGCCAAACTCGTCTCCTGAGATTACAAACGGGACCGGTTTAATGAGTCTCCGCTCCGAACCGCAGCTCGCCTCTCGTTTAGCTGCTGCTGAGGCGTACACTTCCTCCAGCCTGGAATGGCCTTGTAATGGTCCCCAGTCTCCACAGAGGCCTTCTCCCAGTCACACACAGCACGGCCGCAGATCTACTGTTCTCCTGCATCAAAGTTGTGCAATGAGAACCTGTTTTAAATGTGTTTCTGCTTTCCATATAAGGACTTCCTCCCTAAACTCTGCCGAGGCTTTCCTTCAGTCCTCACTCTGCATCAGTTATCTTCTTGACAAATGACAGGCCAGACAGGTGATCCCTCTGTTCATCGGCACCTAATTCTGTTGTCTGGTCCAACTTTAATCTAGTAAATGATCTTTTCCTTCATCAGCTGCAGCCTTTCAACACTTTGAATCATAATGAGTTCTCTCTGTGAAAGCAGCGTTTTGAATTTAAATGGATGGGTCTGCTCCGCCTTTGTTTCGAGTTGCGAGTAATAAAATCAATCCCGATGCGTCGTGATTGATGTTTTTCAGTTTCAGTATCAAAATTACCCACAAAGCCTTTGATAATATCACACAGATGACAGTGATTTAATGTTTTGTGCAGCTGAACGTAGGAGACAATGGATTCACTTCTCAGGGCTGTTGGCTTCGAGTCCAAATTAAACTATGCATTCCTTTTTTTCCACCATGTTCCTCCGGTCCGAATCTTACCGTTTGGATCCCCAGCAACATCATATGATGGTTCTGTTTTTCCACAGAGAACTAAGCTTTCTGTCGAGGTGGATGAAGTTACGAATTAGCCCAAAACTTTCAGTGAGTCTAAGCATACGTCTTAAGCTGTTTAACAAATTCATAACTTGAAAATGCTCCTGTCATGATTGTGTGGTTGATGGTGGATCCAAATTCAGGAGAGAGAAGAGCTTAATGGGGGATAAAAAGTGACGATCAAAAACCATATGGCGCACAGGGAGCCAGAGAAGAACAAAAAAACATCAGAAAACAAACAACAACACAAGGATTTCACATGAATTCCTCTGGTTGTCTGGACACTTCTGGTTTTCTTTCCACCGGTATCTTCAGCTTTCCTGTCGAGTGACCATTATTATTTTTAAACACAATCCTTTGGTAAGCTAACTGTACCTGTCAAACTGTGAGCTCAAACGACCGTTGATTCACTAGATTGACTAAATCACACTTTAAGAGCTTCACATGAATAATTTCTCACGCTTTGCTTCTTTGCGACGGTTTTCTGTAACATCCTGTTTTTAAATGCTTCCCTCTGTGTAATGAATAAATGCTGCAAACGGTATTAGGCGTTAGAGCAGATTCCCTCGGCTCCAATTGTCCTTGGAAGTCGTGCTCAGCTCACAGTGTAACAGAAACAATTGTCCACTAATAAGCAGACATAATAAGCCGTATTACACTGACGATTAGTTCTTGCTCTCACCTCAGTCAAGGACGATCAAGATACTCTGCAAAGTTTCTAAAGATGAATGCAATAAAAACATCCCTCTAATACTTGCAGTAAACATTCCTTTGCTGCCTGAAATTAAATAAAAAATGCACCGAAAGGTTTTCTCAAATTTTTCTCCATGTCATCTGGTGACTATTGCAGATCAAACTGTTCATACCAATTATTGAATGAATGAAATGCAAAATATGATTAAATGAAATGTTGTGAATTTATTTTCTCATCTGTACCTGATGTGGTTTAATTGTGTAATTGTAACTAATGTAAAATATGGGTGTATGGAGCTAAATTGGGGCCAAAAGTTTTGTTCAAAAGAGAAACTGAAAAACAAGATTTCAAGCTGAAAAATTATTTTGAAGCTGAAAGAAATGTTTTGAAACTAAACAAAGGATGTGACACTGAAAAAAAATATTCAATACTACTTTCAAATTTGAGGGTTTTTTTCTCTAATTTTTTTTGTCTTTTGAATAAATTTTAAGGTCCCAATTTTTTTTCTGTTTCAAAATTTCTTTAAATTTCAAAGTAATTTTTCAGTTTAAATTTTTTATTTATTTATTTTTTTTCAGTTTCAGATTTTTTGTTGAACAAACTTTCTGGCCCCAATTTAGCTCCGTACAGGTGTGTTCCCGTTTATTAAATTTTCAAATTTTCAGGCCAAATATGTTAGAAAAACCCACAGGCAGTTTGTTTTCACATGACCGTAGTTTAAGCAATTTTCTATCTTTGTTCTGAACATTTAAACATCTGCTGTCCATTTTGTCTCAAATCTTATCTATAATTTCCTCCTGGATAAACGGATGATTATTACAGATTTATGGCTCCATCTTCATGTCCAAAAATACGAAATCTGGACAAATAAACAAGTTCATGGTATGTTAAATAAGACCTTGGTGTTCCAGCTGCAGTGAGGCATGACATTAATCTCATAACTGATTTAATTCTGTGTTTCATCAGGAGCTGGAGCAGCAGTTTGAGAAGGAGCGCCTCTCTCTGGAGGAGCAGAAGACGCTCCTCAGTCAGCAGCTGGACGAGATGAGGGAGGAGCTGACGTCCAAACTCAGAGCCGCCAACGAGGAGGTGAGGCTTCTCCCCACATCTGGATGTCTAACATCTGCAATCCTCTCTGCAGCCAATAGAAATACTGACAGCACAACGTCAGAGCCTACACTTTCTGGAGTGAAAGCGGTAACAGATGGAGCATAACTCAGATAATTAATATAAAATAGTTTGTTTTGTCAACCAATGTGCTTAAAACGAAGCTCAAGAATTTAATAAAAGGTCATATTTTTCTTGCATTTAGAAAATAGAAATAATTTTGGTAATCAAGGAACATTTAATCTGATTTAACGTCAAACGGTAAAAAACGTATCCAAGTCCTTGAAAATGTTTGATTTTAATTTAGCTGTTTTCAAGGTTTGGAAATGCTTGATATTAAAACTGCACAGTTTTGTGATGAATTGTTATCTAAATTTGGAAAATGGTATTTCCTGTTAAACCAGATATTTACATTTGCCTAATAAAAATACACTTTTTTCAGTTTGAATTTAAATCAGACCAAATGTTTATTATTTTAGCTCAGTTAGAATTACCAAATTATTTTAGATGTAAAAGTAAAATTTTAGTTACTGAAGAATGTAGAAAACTGACAGGACATTATTAATAATATTAATGAATTTAAACTATTGTCTTTAGTTTGTTTTTTATCTCCAAAGTGTGATGCTGGAAAAGTTTGAAAACTCACCTTGAAAATGCTTGAAAAGTGCTGGAATGTATTGTGGGGAAAATGCACAAACCCTGGATCTTTATATTTACTATACATATATATTTAAATGTTCCAGCTGTAGATGCCTGATCAATATTCTGCTTTTATTCCTCTAAAATCTATAAAATTGCTTTATTCTGAAGTCCTGCATCCAAACTGAGCCTCAAGGTTTTAGCTGTAAAACGCAGCAACTGAATTTTACATAAGAATCATTGTCATCCTTTTAAATCCCCGGCTCAAAGGCCCTCATTATATTTTTTAACCTGTCACTGACCGAGTCTGGACAAAGCAATTTAAATTCACCTTGAAACGTTGTAAGAGTTTCCAGGCTGCAGCTCTGACTGACTGGAGGTGAATTTGAAAAGTCAGAACAAGTTTAGTCAAAATATGAAGCGTGTGAATGTTAAACCTCTGCATTTCCATCTGGTGGTTGGTAAAAAGATTTTAAAAACATTTTATTCGTTTTCTAGAATTATTGGAAGTTTTTAGGTAATTACTCCCTCTGATTTTGAATCCTGTGCAGATGGAAGGATTTCTGCTCTTTTTTACTTTTGGGGAGGAGTTATGATGCGTAACCACGGCAACCCTGTGTTGTTTTCACAATTCAGAGTAGCTAGTAGCATCCCGAAGGCTAAAATAATGAGCTGCTACCATCTGAACGAGTAGTTTGCTTGTTCAGATGAGCAAACTACTCATCATTTTGTGTTTTTGCTCTGCAAAAACACAAAATATTACCAAATATTGTGATCGTATCTCCTACTCCAGCATCGCTCTGCCCTGTTTCCAACCAAATAGACATTTAAATATGAGTGGCGAAAGCAAAGGAAATGGATTAACAGTACATGTTACTGTGGAATATCACCTTTGCTTCCCAGAAATCATAACTGCAACAGTCTTCAGTCAGGGACTCCATCAGATTTGATGCAAGACTGACTGCTACTGGAGATCCTTCAGCATCACCAGCCACAGGAACTCTTCAAAGACACTTGGATGACATTTAATTTCCCCTCGGAATGAGTAAAATTCCAAGGGGAAATCCAGCAAAAAATATATTTTTTGTAGCTTAGGGGAAGCATTTAGTGCTTAACTTTGCACGTCAGCAACATTTAAAAAGTTGTACATATTTTTGATAAAACGCCAGCTGACTGAACAAAGAGCTGCAGAGGCTGAGGATGGGTCCGTTCTGTCCAACCCGCCTGCAGGTGTCCCGGCTGCAGCAGGAGGTGCGGAAAGGGGAGGAGGACTTCGGGGCAGCGGAGGGCCAGATCTCCACCCTGAAGGAGGCGCAGGACAAACTGCTGGAGGAGCTGGACGCCACGCGGGCCCGACTCAGAGAGACCAGCAACCTGCTGACCGCGCTGCAGGTGACTTCTACCACACAAAGGATCAATATTATCAATAAATCCACAACTGATCACTAAGCGGTCTGTCTGTCTGTTCCTCAGGGAGAGCTGGAAACCCAAAAACGCCAACATGAAGCCAAACTCATAACCACCAAAGAAGAAGAAAAGCATAAGATGGACAAGATGGCGCTGGAGCTGGAGCTGAAATGGACCGAGACGCTCCGGTGAGTCCGAGTGTTCGGGTCGGGTCGGGAACCGAAAACCGTCCGAGTTTCTTTTAAAAAGCTCAAATCATGCAGGAAGAAGTAAATGAGACATCAAAGCATCAACTGAGCATGCTCAGACAGATCCACAGGTAAATATGTCACCAGCCTGGAGCTGAAACGATTAATCGAATTAATCACGATTAATTGATTATTGAAATAACCGTCAACTAATTTAGTAATCGAGTAATCAATAACTGGAGCATACAGATTCAAAAAAAGGCCAATTACTGAAAGAACAACACAGACAGAGCAGTAATTAAGACAAAACTGTACAAAAATGTTATATTAAGATGAAAAACCACCTTTGTCCAAAACTCCTCAGCTGGCAGTTTTATCAAATAAATCTGCTACAAAGCATCTTTTATTAGCCAATTATTAATCTGTTAATCCAGAAAATGATCAACAGATCAGCCTTTAAATGTATTGATGAGCGAAGCAGAAAAGACTGAGCTTTTCACATGTTGATGTGGGAACTTGTGTTTTTTCACGTGGTAAAAGCCGAAACTACGCGATGACTCAGCGTTTTCCACACTTTGAAGTTTCTATGCTTGGAAACCAATTTGTACTTTTGATGCTGAAGTCACTTCAGACGGTAATGAAAACCAAAATAAATGGATGAGAATAAATGTTCTGCCCCACCGGTGTCAGTATCTTTTATTTAAAGTGTCAGGAAACGTTCAGAGTTTAAAGTTTCCACAAACGTTTGCTGTTGGAGAGATTTATCTCACTAAATGTTAACTAAAGAGCCAATTTAGGGTTTAATTCAAATGTTTTCCGCTTGAAGCTCCGCTGCTGAGGGAGCAACACAACTGAAAGGTGACAAAAGGGAATAAATCATCTGAAACTGCATTAATGCAGAAGAAGCAGTCGTGATGTGACATTAATGGTGAAAAGCAGCAGGACTTGCATGTTTAAAGTTTACAAAACAGTGGAAATCTGCGCCTAACTTAACTCTGATATCGATCCAACCGAAACGCTCCGGTGGCGAACGTCTTCCTCTCTTCAGATTCTGTAGAGCGAAGAACCTCTGAGCATTTTCAGTCTGAGACAAATAAAAAACAAAATCTTTTTAGGGGGGGTTTGTATCCAATTCAAAAACAAATCAAAGAAAACTCCACTTTAGCTTTTTCATTTTTCGTTTTTTGGTCGTAAATTGAAAATGGAAAGCCGAATGATTCACAGATTACCAAGCGCTCTGGATCCAGAGATGCATCATCCAGTGAGGCTCGCATTTTATGGCAATAAAAAGTCATTTAAGAAACAAAAACAAAGTTGTTTTATCGCTGTGTGTAGACCTGATGCCTTTAATTTTACATTTAGTTTTTATGTGCAGCAGCTGGATAAACTAATCACCATCCAGGGTTTATGTTTGAGCGAACAGTTAAATATTTGTTTAAATATTGTTTTATATGTTGCTGGATTCTTGCACCAACGAAGAAGAAACTGTTGATTTGATTGGTTGCATTGATCTTCAGCAGATTAAGGTCACTTTATGCATTTCTCATCTTATAATAACTTCTAATAGCATTGAGCATTTATACGCATGAAAATAATACTAGTAAATAAAAAGTCAGCTTTTCTTTAATACGCCTTTTGTGAAATTATCAAATTTATGGGAAACTTTAAAGGTATTTTTCTCTGTCAGATGTGAGAATTAGATTCAGATGGTTTTTTCTTTGACCCTCCATGTCTCAGAAAGTTAATTCAAACAATTCGTAGGGATTTCTCCTGCAGGAATATCTGATATTTTGTTGGGTCTGAATTTCGGGCTGCAGGTTTTGTGTACAGTTGTTTGCAGATAAACATTGAGACTGTGAAGCTAAATGTCAGCTAATATTTAATCACCTTCTTTATCTTCTGCAGCTCAATAATCCCGTCTGCAGACATTTGACAAAATCTTTGGCAATCTGTTTCTCCTCTTTGAAAGTGCTGCGACTGAAGTGTAAATATGTTTTAGATGTATAGAAATAGATACTAAATAGTAAACATGTTGTTGAGAGAATGGACAGAGATGCGTTTCAAACAACATCACTTTTCACTAAAACTGTTCACTTCTGTAAAAATGAAGAGTCTCCAAGGAATATTTGAAAAAGTATCTTTTGGTTATCGATTTTCCACGGTTTCTGTGGGTTTTCTTTGTACTTTGGTGACATTTTAATTGAATTTCACTTATTTTTTTATGTCATTGGTCCTGGTGCTTCGACTGGTCATGGGAGAAGAAACTGTCTCTCTAGCGCCAGCCAGTGACAGCGGTGCCATCTGCAAATTCCTGGAGTTTCCCTGACTGGTCAGACATTAGTACAGAGAGAAGAACAGTGGGGTGAGGAGTCAGCCCTGAGGGACGCCGGTTCTGATGGTCCAAACTTTAACTCCCTGTGTGTGGTGAACAAGTCGATCTTTCTCTTGCTCTGTGCTTTAAATAAAAAACATGACGGCCGTCTGATCTGCAGCTTCACACCTGCACGTTTTTCAGGAGATGGGTTCATTTTGTGAGATCCCGCTTTCAGTCTGACACTTTATAGCTCTGAGTGACAAAATAAATAAATAAAAGAAACGTGCTTGCCTGCTGGATACTCCATTTAACAGCTGCCATTTCAACTCCCACTCAGCTATTACATCGGCAGCGTGCAGACACACACATTCATCTCGGAGGCGAGGTGCGGAGGTGGCAGCAGCCGCGTTGAGGAGAGATGGTCACCCACTAAAAGCCGTGTTGGGGTCTAGCGGCACAGGACAATTTATTGCTGCCATTAGGGGGACATTCAGCTGTCTGGAGCACTTTTACCTTAGTAGCAAACTTCTGGGTGAGTGTTAACGTGACGGTTATACATCCTTCTATGCAGACAGAAGACAAGAACTGATCCAAGGAAACCAATGATGCCTTTGCTCAGCTCTCTCTAGCCAAAAGGAGACTAAAGATAAAGAAGGATGTCTGATCATTCCTCTTTCTGCAGTCGTTCTAGATCAGCCCAAGTCCAGTCCTCGAGATCCGCTATCCTGCGACTTTCAGTGTGCCTTCGCTTTAATCAAACTCCAGTTTGTCTAGAAAGTCTGGTTCAGTTGGAAGAACCAGATGGGGCCCAAACACAGTGAACTCTGGTCCACCAGCAAACATCAGTCTCTGTTCGGGTGAACTACGTTTGCGGTTCGAATGCATATGTGAATGCCTCCAAAAGCAGGAAGTGGACTACAGCACAGGGCATTCTGGGTAAATCCAACCAGAGCAAATGGTTTAGACGCTAGCAGGAGAAATGGGTTGTGTTTTTTTTTTACCAAAGACAAAAGTGAAATCTTACAACCTGTCGCTTCTCCATTTTTGTTTACATTTTGTGAAGAAGGAATTTTTTGTCGTTTTCTTCAGTTGTTCTTGGTGCAGCGCCCCTACAGGTGAGGAGGGGAACAGGATTTTCAGATGTTTGATTCGTTTGACACAGTGCAGCGTGAAAAAGAACCGCAGAGGCTGAAAATATAACGAATATTAAATTCAAGCTAATGGAAAACCTGTTCCCCTCCTCGCCTGTGGGGGCGCTGCACCAAGAACCACAGAAGAGAACAACATGAAAACCTCTGAACAAAACACTGAGCGCAACTTCCTCTTTCACAAAATGTAAACATGTTCAGGTTACAGATCATTTGGTCCTCGGTTTTTAAAGTTTTACTTTCCTCCTCTTTTAAACAAACTGTGTCTGAATTACTTTTATTTTGTTTTTACAGGCAGGAGTGCAAGAAGCTTCGCGAGGAGCTGAGGGAGGAGCACGAGGAGGAGAAGACCGCGGCTCTGGCTCAGCTGGCACAGAGCAAGGAGCAGGAGCAGAACAGCGCCAGGGAGAGCTGGCAGCGGAAAGTGGACGACCTGCTGGAACAGGTGCGACTCCTGCATCGTGACTGACCTTCTTCCAAGTCTTCCTCATCTTATTCACAGCCTCAGAAAGCAGGAGAAACAACGGCGACTGAATGTCAGGAATTTAAAAATGCCAACAAATCCATTTCTGAAGACAGAAACAAGTGGTTTGACTAGAACTGTCGCAATAAATTGTCCCATAAATCATTAACAATAAACAATAATACTAATACTAATAATAGTAGTAATGCCATGGTGATAATGGAAGAAACACTCTGTAAAAGATCAATAAGCTGTAAATTCAAATTAACATTTGAAAAAGAACAAATAGTTATTTTGGATTAGACAAAATTGAGCAACTTTTCCTCTGGAAAGAATAAAATGCATCCAGAATCAGAAGCAAGAAACATCTGAGGAGGTTTGGTTTTCATTTTATTCATTTGCTAAAGATGCAAAACTCGCAGATGAAGAAAGTTAAATATAAGATTTGTGGGATACTGGTAAACTAAAGAAAATTACTGGTATGTAGAAACGTGATTGTCTGGGAGCGTTTCTGTTTTCTTAAGATATTTTGGTTTAACTGTTTGGTAATTTGTTTTTAAATGTGTGAATAATGTATTTATTCATTTACAAACAAACCTGCACTTTATAAATAAGCGTTATTAAGAATATGACAAATTCAAATAAAAATAACATTAACACTGGACTGGAAAACATTTTAAAACTCCAAAATAAATAATAATAATAAAACAAATAAAATTAATTATGAAGTTTCTGCAAACAAAATGGTTTTTCTAAAAAGGTTTGGTTGAGGCCAAAGCAACAGATTCAAAACTTTTCACATCCAGTTTTTTGTTCTAAAAGAAAAAAAATAAATTATGCAAATAGAAATGATTGAGCTCGTTTTAATTTAATTTATTTGTTGCTTATTGTGACAGGTTTTGATCTGACGAACGGATGATCCTCATCCTTTAACCTCTGGTTTTATTCTTTACATGAAATACTTGATTTTTTTAACTGAATGAATGTAATGAAAGCAGCAGAGAGAAAATAGGAGACTGGAAGAAAAGAAAAGAACAACAATAAGAGCAGCGACTGACTGACTGACTCGGCTGCGTGTAACTCAGACGGCAGCAGACTCCTGATCGTTGCTCTGTAATATCAACGCGGCGAAGCTGCTCTGTGGTCACTGGAAGTTCGTTCCTGCGTCAGGCGACGGCGGCGCGTCGTCCTGCTGCCACTCAGGCAGCTAAACTGTATTTATCCAGTCTGATGCCAAACCGGAGCAGCTTTCATCCTCGGGATGGATGCGCTCTGACAGGCGGGAAGGCGTTTAGAAAATCTAATGACCTGCATTTTAACAGATGGAAGTGATGTCAGCGGCGCCTTGATGCAGGAGCTGATGTGACGTTTGGAAGATGAAGATCCTCAATGAAAGCTCGGCTGATCCTGAACTATGATACAGCACAGTCTTTTAAAAATAACACTTAGTACGCGCCAGTTTTTGTTATTATTTATCATTAAAGCTGCAGGATGTAACTTTGCAGTATCAGCAACAGCAAAATTCTTAAAACTTCCTCAGAATGTTTTTACACTCGTTTCCGGTCGTTTTGGGCAAAAGAGTTGATGCGCGAACAAAGCGAAATAAATTCTGACATAGCGAACCGCTGGTGGGTCTGTGCCTTACCAGAGGCTGAAAAATTTAAAAGTGCAAACATGGAGAGCTGGAGGTTATTTTTAAACTTTCTGAAAAGTTGGTGGAAGAGAATCTGAGCGATAAATAACCTGGAGAAGCTCGTGTTAGCTAGCGTAGCATGCTGTGAATGATGACGCTCATCAGCTCAGTGAGCCGCTTCCTGTAGCCAATCTGTAGGATTGAACAGGGGTGTACTTACTTTTATCCCGTGACTGACGGCAAAAAGCAGAGCTTTCACCTCATGAAACCCAGTTTTGTTGTGGGTAAAAGCGTGCAACATTTTTAGAAGGAGACTTAAAAGGAAAGCTTAATGAACGCAGAGCAGCAAATTAAAAATGAATTAATTACACAGGTTAATAAAATTTAAGCATTCCCCTGTGAGCTGCTGTTTTCGTTGAGTTTAATTTCAACACAGTCATTATCGCTGCTCTGTGAAACCAAACTTAGGAACTCAACCTAAATGCACACATACAGATTAGCGTCCTGTATGGTTAACATGAGACCTTTTGTGCTTTTAATAAACGTGACTAACTTCACGTTGCATCTGGGAGTTTCACACAAACTGTCAATGTCAATGTGTCGCAGTAAATCAATTTTCTCCCATTTTCTTTTATCTTTGCTGGATGATAAAAGTCTCGACGAGCTTCACAGAGACTTCATAATTCATTTTATTTGTTGTTTGTTTTGTACATTTAAAATATCTTCCAGTTCCAGCGTTAAATGTTCACCAGGATTAAAGTTTATTAATAATTGAATTTTTTTTTACCTAAAAATGTTCTCAAAACTACAATAATATTGTTTATCACAATAACTTCTGTTATGCAGAGCTTATTTTGCTCAAAAATAAGCTACTTCTATGTTTTTGAATGAGTTTTTCTGCCTTCACAGCTGTTTATGTTAGCAGCTTCTACAAGGTGAGGCTCATCATTAGACAAAGCTGTATTCATCGTGCTTCTGCAGTCTGTCTAGACAGACTAATCTACCGAGTCACACGCCTTCCTTCCTACCAACAACGGATTTCAGCGGGCCTTTCGTTGCATTGCAGCTTTACTTTATTATGTTCTGCTGTGAACTCAACGTTATTAGCATAAAGCTAAAAGCTCTTCTGCTTCAGCTTTGGGATTAAAAAATTAGTTCCTAACAAACTGATTGCCTCTTTTTCTGCTCCTATTATCCTGCAGGATGAACCGAACGTACAGCGACGAACTGAACACGTTCGGCATAAAAACCTTTTGATCGGTTCGGTGTGTAACGTCGTCTGGTTTCTGTGCAGATATCTCTGCTGAAGCAGAGTCTGGAGATGCAGCTGTCGCAGTCGCAGTCCTCGCTGCAGCAGCTGCAGCACCAGTTCAGCCAGGAGAGGGAGCACCTTCGCATGCAGCTGGACGAGCTGCAGACGGAGCATCAGAGGCGGCAGCAGCGTCTGCAGGAAGCCCACCGCTGCGCCATGCAGGACATGGAGCACGCCAGGCAGCGCGACCTGAAGGTCGGTGAAGGGCGAAGCACGCAAACGATACGACCTCAAACTAATCCTACCTCTGTGTGGGATTTCAAAAGAAATCGATGCTTTATTTATCATTAAGGTTCTTATTATCCACACTTATCTGCTAGCTACTACCAGAACCAGAATGCACCTTTTATCTCTAAAAAACACAAAGTCTTGTGCAAATGTCTTTGTACACTTGAAAGTAGATAAAACTAACTTACATTTCCAGCTCTGGGACAAATGAAGATCCCACTGCACTGAACCCGTCCAAAAAACCTCGAGGTTTTTCCACCAAATATTGATTTCTGATCTCTTCCTGAGTTAAAACATCAGCATTCATGTTTCTAAATGAATACCAACTTGTTTTCTTTGCATTATTTGAGCTCTGATAGCTCTGCATCTTTTATTTTGTCCATTTCTCATTTTCTACAAATAAATAAAAGATGTTGCTTGTAATTTCAGAGACATGTTGTCAGCAGTTCATAGAACAAAATAACAATGTTCATTTTACTCAAACATAAACCTATAAAAAGTAAAAAATCAGAGAAACTGATTTTTGTTTGTTTTAATTCAACAATTATTTATCGTTGCTGAAACTGGCAGATTATTTCACTGGTAGCAAGACATTTTCCCATGTTATGAGTGAAATAATCTGCCAGTAGAGCAGAGGAGGGCAGAGCAAGACTTCAGTATATTTTTACTAAAGTAAAAGTAAAGAGTTAAAAAGTTTACTAAAGTACTGATCAAATTATCATTCAATACTTAAAAGTTACATAATCTGACGGACCAAGATATAAAGTTAAGTGGAAATTTTGGTTATTTAAAGACGAAAATGACAATAATTTATATAAATAACAAAATCAGGCAAAATAAACTTTTCCAATTTAAAGCGTATTTGGTCATAATAAAATCACTCAAGTAAAAAGTACATCATGGTTAAAATACTCCTAAAACTATTTTCTTCAAAACAGTTACTCAAGTAAATGTAACTAGTTACTACCCAACTCTGCAATGGAACTAGAACTTTTCATCAAAATTAAGGAATTTTTACTTGAAACAATCTATTATTTGTTACCTGTAAGTTAGTTTTGTCTTCTTTCAAGAGAACTGAGATATTTGCACTATAAAGTAAACAAAAATACTTGGTAAGATTTTGGTTTTTTGCACAAAAAAATGTATAATTTATTGTGATACATTTGTTTTCACAATAAGAATTTTGATTTGTCATTGTCACAATAAGTACCTCCAGTTTTCTCCTCTGTTTGTTAAGTAAATACCAATAATAAGTTTAGATTCAAATCACAATGCATTTCAGTAGCTCATTTTATACATTTATCAAATGTGATTCACTGCAGGGATTTTAGTAAAACATGTTTTTTCTTCATTTTAATGCGTTTTTGTTGAGTTTTGTTGGGAGAAAAGCCAAATGAAATCCTGCATGATGTTACTATTAATACAACTGGGAGCTTTTTCTGTTGTCTTGGCCCATAAAAGAATCTTTTCCTGCAGGCTGTAGGTTGGGTTGCCTCTTTGGTTCATGACTCAGATTAGCTGGAAACGGGGTCAGGGGAACACAAACAATGCTGCAGCCGTAAGTTTTCATAAAATCATGTTGTTTGCTGCCTGCAGGCTCAGCTGTGTTATTTCAGGTCAGTGGAGTTAATGTCTGAGACGGGAAAGTGGATTTCATAATAACAGAGCCGAGCTGGGGGAAAAGTATTTAGGTTCCTAATTAATGGAGGAGGATTTTATTTCATTTTATTTTTTTGTAAATAAAAAAAATATTTAAAAAAATCCAGTGAAGCCAGTTTCCTTCAAAAGTCAGTCTTTCTGTGTAAATCTGCACTGCAAAAATACAAAATCAAGGATTTTTGTTTTGTTTCTAGTGCAAATAAATTGAAATAATACAAAACTAAGTTAATGTAACTTTTAGGAGCTTGTTTTAGAAGTTTTATGTGTTTTCCACACAGTGTCATTTTATTGTACAACCATGTTACTACCTTCAGTTATTACAAGAACACTTTATATGTCAAATATGATTTAAAATAAATGTTACTTCCTGATTTAAAGCCTTGAAATTGGACCTGTCTCTTTAAAAGTCATCACAACATGGCTCCTCTGTTAACCCTTTAACAACATTTTTACTGCTTTTCACTGAGACGCAGCTCCTATGAGGAGCTCACCAGGTGTTTGCTAATTGCTGCTGGCTAGTCTGAAGTAGCTGAGTGGGGGAGGAGCTGTGCCCTGAAGGCGGAGCTATGTCCGCCCAGGTGTTTTGCAGAGCTGAATGGTTGCCATGGAGACTAAAAAATGATCTAAAGGTTTTAAAAAAGGTGATTTTACATCTTAACTGCCCCTTTAAATCAATACTTTCTTAATATTGATGAAAAGTACAAGGTTTCTTCACATGTAACAAGACTGTTAAATAATCTGAAAGTGAAAGAAATGCCTTTTTATTGACTTATAAGCTCCTATATTTTGCTGAAAAGTTATGTCTAACTTAGTTTTGTCTTATTTTAAGTGTATTTGTTGTGTTTTTGGCATGTTTTCTTTCACAGTTTTGCACTGCTTTGCTATTTCAAAGGGTCCAAATACTTTGCAGGAGAGAATTGCCACCTAACTTAAGTGCAAACCTTTTCCTTCTTTTAAAAACCGGTGAGTTTGACCGTTTTGTGTGGCGATGGAAGGAGCTCTTCAGAACCTGCCCAGCTGCTTGACATTTTAATTCAGCTCCGTCTTGTCAGTCAAGGTTAGAGCGGCAGTGACTCATCGCCGCCGCCGCGCCTCACTCTGACAGCGCTGCCTCTCCTCAGCTTAATGTGGAAATATGCACGCTCCAAAACAAAGCCCGCGCTCCTCAACGTGCCAATGAGTCGTCGCTCAGCGCTAATCCCTCCGTTTCAGTCAAGGTCGATTTGGATCAGCCATACATCTCGGTTTTAAATCCCCCTTCTCCTCTCGGATGCTGTAATTGTCTGAAAGCTGCGGGTCAGAGAACAGCGTCCTCCATGTGTTGCTGCCAACTATTTGACTATAAATTTGAATGAGGAAGAGCGATTGAGTCATGCAGCTCAGTTTTTAATATTCTTCTGTAAACTCGCTGTTCACTCTGATTTGCGGCGTTCACGGCGTTCACGGTGACAGCATGTTGGAGTTTCTCCGTTTCGTTACTTCTGATTTCTTCTTTTTTTAATGTTTCTGGATGCTGGGCAGCTGGAAGGATTTTCACTTTTACTTTTTTACTTTTGAACAGATGTTATGATTCTTAACTGTGGTAAAAAAAAAGTACTTATTGTAGGGTGAACGTTTATTTTATTTTTGATCATTAATCGATTAATTAATCAGGTTTTGCATTTACTTTTTAAGCTTTTTTATACAGTATAAGTAATACATTAAAAAGGCAAATGAACAAATACTTTAAGAAATCAAACATTTTATTGGCTGAAATGCAGCAACATAGCAGAACATAGCTTATTTAGTGAATCTGAATCAGGCAAAGCGAAAACTGACTGTCGAGTTTTGGCTAAAACACATTTACAACAAAACTGTTTTTATCTCAACTGCAAAATGTTTATATTTTTGTAAAAATTTGGCTTAATTGCTTATTAGAATATATTGTTTTTTGGCAACTGACCTTCTTTAGAGTCTGTATAGTCCAGTTAAGGATTCGATTATTTGTGATAAATCTGATTGTTTGAGCCCTAATATATTTTTTAATATTTTTACAATTGGGAACAGATTATGAGCATCTCAAAGCTGAAACAATACCTGAACTCTGACCCCAAATCCCAGAGGAGTTGAAAAAGAGGCTTTGATCATTTTAATAAATATGTATTTATTTATTACTTCATATATAAGGTTAGTCTTCAGTCAGAGGCCTCTTCAGATTAGTTGTAAGACTGACTGCTACTGCAAAACGCCCACAGCTGCTGCTTTTCCGTAACAAATGTGCTCAAAACTTTGTGAATATTCTGCTAATGATGAAAAGACACTTTCTATATTGTTGTGTTTCCATTAAATAAGAAACACAATTAAAATCACGCGTGCATAAATTTGTTCAGATGATAAGTCATTAAAAATCATCCTATTACTACTTCCTGTTTTCTTCTTCGTGGTTTCTACCAGTAGTAACATCCCGCTGTTGATCATGTAACTCGTGTGAACCAAAAAAAGTGCTTCCCTTGCACTTTTGCCAAATAAACCAATTTCAATATGGCTGAAAATTCCTGTTTCCTTGAAGCAAATTTATTTTCTAAACATCAAATTGCGCACTTATATAATCAATGGAAACACGACTCTTTGAAGATCCTAGAATGACATAAATAAATAATTTGATCAGAAGTATTCTCCTCTCTGATGGCGTTGAGAGGAAACTTTCTGCGTAACGACGAAATCATCTGAAGCATCTTCCCTCCCGCTGCAGTCTTAGTTAATAAGCAGAGGAACTGGGAGCTAAAAGCTTTACGGAGGCTTTTATATCCAGGCGGTGTTTATATTTCTGTCTGCAGCGCCGGGGAAGCAAACTCAATTATCCTGAGTGGAGCCATTTGAAGGATGATTTGTGAATGTGTGTTTTATGCGTGTTAGGCTGGATGGCGGCGCCTGGCGTTATCTCTTCACAGTTCACAGGAAGTCATATCCAGGGAGTAATAAAGTAGCTCCAAATCCCTGCAACACGAGCGCGCACACGTTCACATAACCAGATTTAGTTCCCGCCGATACAAAAAGCTACAAATAGAAGCGGCGAGGAGCGGCTGGCAGTTTATCTTCCTTTGTTTCACTTCGTTTTGCCTCCGCGTCGCGCTCATGGTGATAAGTGTTCTTTTCGCAGCGCAGGTCGATTTTATTACGCCACAAAACGGAAAGTTTCCAAATAAAAACGTCTGCAAGTTCGGGAAGTTCCAGGGTGACTCGCAGCGCAAGCCAGAAGTTTGCATACAGCGGTGAAAAGTCACCTGGTCGTTCTTTTCCGTCTGAAGTGAAATCGGAGCAAAATTCAGTTTTTACCAAAATGATTCTTCAGGATGCTGCTGCTGCTAAACTGAGTTCTTCCTCTCTGATTCTCTCCATCCACTAAACGACAAGCAGCGACCAAGTCTCTTCTTTCTGGACATCCTTCCTTCCTTCCTTCCTTCCTTCCTTCCTTCCTTCCTTCCTTCCTTCCTTCTCTTTCCCTTCTTAATTTCTTCTTTCAGTTTCCATCTAGGATTTCCTTCCTTCCTTGTCTTCTCCCTTTCTTTCTTTGCTCCTTCCTTCTTTCTTTCCTTTAGTTTGTCCATCCTTCTTTTATTTCCTTTTCCATGTGTCCTTCCATCCTTTTCTTATCTCCTTCCTTTTTGTCATTTTTGTATTCTTCCTTTATTCTTTCCTTCCTTCTTTCTTTCCTTTTTTACTTTCTTTCAGTTTTTCCATCCCTCTTTTCCTTCCTTCTTTAGTTTCAGTCCTTCTTTTTTCTCTTTACTTCCTTCCTTCCATCCTTATTTCTTCCTTCCTTCCTTAAAGTTGAGTCTGACACAATAACATAATTTACAGAAACGCTGCAGAAATGTTGTGTAATAATTAACAGCTGATAAAATCTTAATTTAATCAAAATGCTTTTATTTTGATGCTTTCATCGTCTTCTGTATCATTTTATTCTTATTTATTTTTTTATTTGTAAAATTTCTCCATGTTTTCGTGAAATCGTGTCTGATCCTTCATCTGGATCCGTTTCTCTGATCCTGGATCAGAAATAAATTCACTGCCGAGTCCCTGTGTTGCCTTCAGGGAATCTCGGACGTTAAGTTGCGGCGCCCTCACGCATCACTTCCTGCGGCTCCAGGGGTCAGGACTCAGGTCAGCTCATGTTCCTCCATGTTGTTGATGAAAAATATCGACGGCCCATTAAAAGAAGAGAGACGGAGGAAGTGAACGCAGCGGCAGCATTTCAGTCAGATGCTAATTATGGGATTCGCTGCGTTTAGCAGAGATTAATGCGCTGCCTTTAATTAAAGGGATGGAGCCGCCATTTTTACAAAAGCACCACTGATCTGTGGCGAAGACCGAAGCAGATTAGTGGGTTTTAAAACCCACTTTCTCATTTCTCCATCGCTGGTCGCTTCAGGACAATGAGGATTAGCAGGAACCTGGAAAACGCTACGCTACCGCTTTAAAAAGGCTAAAGCAGGGTGTCCAAATGGAGGCGCGGGGGCCGTTTGAGGCCCCTGGGTTGATTTTGTCCGGCCCACTACTCCAATTCAAGAAAAATCGGGGTTTGATTAATCCAACTTCTGGTTTTTGGAGATTTGTTGATTTGTTTAATTATTTCAAACAGGTTTTTAAAATCAAGAGAAAAAAATCCATACAGAACCAAGAACTTCTAGTTTCCTGTTTGGAAAGGTGTAGGAGGAAGTGAACTCTTATTTAATCACTCATCTAAATTTAGTGAAATATATTGCTTACTGACTAAATAATCATTAGTTCCTAGTAATACAATCTAATAATTTTTCCCCAATGCGCTCACTGAATTGAGTTCAGGTCAACTTTATGACATTATTAAGACCAAGCCTGGATGTTTTTGTTTTTTATCCTTAATAAATGTGTATTATCTTGAATTATAGCTGGCCGACATAAAGAAAAAAAATATTTTCATACCAACTCTGATTTACATTTTGAATCCATTTTTGTTTCTTTGTTTGTTTTCTATTCGTTGTAGATGGATGGGGGGAAAACGGACCAAATTTTCACCAAAAAATTCAGAAATTCTATTGAAAATTTCCAAATGTTGAAAATTTTTGACTTTTGAAACTTGGAAATGTCCATGTTTTTTTTTCTAGAAAATTTCTGAGATTAACCTCAAACTTTTTTTTTTTTTTTTACTGGATTGCGGTTCTTTTTTTTTCTATCTACAGTCGCCCCCCAACTCGCCGTTGTACATCCATTTGTCATACAGGAACATTGAAAATTAAAAGTTCCAGTTTGCTGTACCCAGTGTTGGTTTTGTATTTTCTAATCGTCCGTCGTTTATTGACCTATCCAGGACATATTTTGTTTTTGTCTTTCCTTAACATGAACTTTCAAACCAAACCGTTTGATCTTTTAGTGCATCGTCTTTTCTGGTTTTACTCACACGCTCCTTCCTCTGTGCCTCCGTCAGGAGCTGGAGGAGCGTCTGCGCCATCATCACCACGCAGAGCTGCAGTCGCTCCGGGAGGCCCACCGGCAGAGCATCGAGACGCTCAAACAGCAGTCGGAGCAGGAGCTGCAGACTCTCCGCTTCGAGCTGGAGGACGAGGGCAAAGCCATGCTGGGTGAGGGATCCACATTTCCCCTCATCGTCAGCTTTCAGCATGGAAGCTAATAAAACCGGTGGAAGTTTTATTTTACTTTTCAAAATGGACAGAAATTACACCCAGATTATTTAAATACAGGCAGACGTCGTTTGGAAAGTTTCACATTGAAGATTAACTTAAATGGGATTGTGTGGAGTAGTAAGGAGCAGTCAGTGTCTTACCCATATGAGGCAGCTGTCAGTCGTCTCAGTTTGCAGGAAATCGAGGCCTATTGCAAATAAATCAGTTCATCAAATGAAAAATTAAAACAAGTTCAGAAATTTCCATTTGCATAATTTATCATTTTTCTCTTTTTTTCTACCAAAACTTAGATGATAAAAATCTTCAGTTTGGTGCTTTGGTCTCAACTAGATACTTTTTTTAAAGAATAATTTTGTTTACAGAGATTTCATAATTCATTTTATTTGTCGTTTCTTTAGTTTTGTTTCTTTATTTTGGATATTTAAAATGTCTTCCAGTTACAGGATTTAGCATTTGTTGATGTTTTAGAACGTTTTCTTGATTTGTTATGCCTTTACCATTATTGAAAATGGTCTTAACAGAACAATAATATCATTTATCACAATAACTTATTGTTCAGCAAAATGTATTGTAACGGGCTTAGCAACACATATTGACCACGGTGTCCATGCATCGTTAAAAAGTTTTAATTAACGCCTTAAATGTCTGAAATTAATTAAATAAGTTGTGTTAAAAAGTTTTAATAATTTTGCTAAACATTCTATTCAAATTTCCTCAAATGACGAGTTAAAGGTTTTTAAATAACTCTGATTTATTTAGGAAAACAACACACTTTGGGTCGGTGTCTAAATATATTCAAACATATATGAGAAATTGGATGCCAGAGGAGTTAAAGTTGGGATAAATATATCTGAGGCGTAATAATATATGAGGACCATTCAGTTTGCAGCGCTAGCGTTAGCGCCGCGCGGCGGAGTGAGATGAATGGGCCTCCATTAACCTTCATGTCTCGGTCCTGACACTGCAGAGCTCCTTCCATCCGTCTCTCTCTTCCTGCTTCTTGACATCCTTTTATTACCCTCCTTTTCTCATTATCACTTCCTCCACAAATTTTTATACTCTTCCCCACTCAGGGTTATGTGTTTTCAGACATTATTCACTACAGAGAAATACAGTCCGTCGATAGAAAAGCTGAAATCTTCTTTCTTTTGTTCTGTTTGCAATGACAGACGTTTGAAGTGAGGATTAAATCTGCTAAACGGAGCAGATGCTCTTCTTTGTTCAGAGTTTGGCTCCTGTAAAAGTCTTTAAATTATTTCTAGAGGATGGTGGCCATTTTTCAACATGGCCACCATTTTTTGAACCTTTAAACTTATTATTGTCACAAAATGTTACTGGTGTGCGAGTCTCATACCAGTCAGAAGGAGTTGAATATGTCACAGAGAGTCAGTTGTCTTAATGGTCAGCGTTAGCTTCTGCTAATTTTTTATGTTTAGCATTAGCTTCTATTAATTTTTTCAATCTGTTTAATGGTTTAGAATTAGCTTCCACAAATTTTTGCATCATTGGTGGATTACTTTTAGCGGCTGCTAATTTTTTATGTGTTTAGCGTTTTAGTGTTAGCCTCTGCTCATTGTTTAATGTGTTTAGAAGTTTAGCCATAGCTACCTCGAACATTTGTATGTTTGTATGTGTCTAATAACAGTTTTTATTATCTTCTGTTAATTTTTCTCATCTGTTTTGTGGATTAGGGTTAGTTTCTGCAACTTCTTGTATGCGTTTATGGTTCAGTGTTAGCTTCTGCTAATTTTTTTATGTGTTTAGCAGCTTAGCATTAGCTTCTTCAAATTTTTGATTGTGCTTAGCATTAGCAGAGCTAATATTTCTTTAAAACTTGTGGGATATAGTTTGACACCAGAAACATTGATTGAAGATTTTAGTCCAAAAATAAATTTTCCATGACGACCATGCTAACTATCTTGAAAAATAAAAAACAATATCAGTAAATATGTTTTCTCTGGGTCCAATCATGTATGACTTGATAGCAAAAGTATTCATCTGGGAAAAATATTGACAAATTTAGTGAAACATTTTCCTTGATGACCATCTTAAAAAATCGTGGCCATCTTGACGTTTTTCCTAAAAAACAAGCTCCTGTGCCAAGTTTGTCTTTCTAGAGCTTTCTAGCAAACTCCTTCATGTTCAGCCTCTTTTTTCCTCTTGAAAGATAAATAGTTCCTTTGTGTTGTCGTCCTGCAGCCTCTCTGCGATCGGAGCTGAACCACATCCACGCCTCGGCCATCGAACACCTGCGGCAGACCCACCACCAGGAGTCTGCAGCTGCCAAAGCCGAGCTGGAGAAGGTCCTGGAGAACAACCAGACCCAGGTACAGCCTTCATCTCTGATCTGTTCTCAGCCACGCTTTCATTATCAGACCATCATAAATCTCGGCTTGACAGCTGCGGACTGAACTGTGTTTTAGCATTTAACTGTAATAATCAGTGTGACGTTAATGGTTTCTGCTGAAGCTGCCAGCCGCGCCGCATGATGAACGACTCTGCCGTCTCGCCTGAGTCCTCCCAAACACTTCTCCGTCTCGCTGATGGGCGGCGGCGAGATCGCGTGATTAAGGTTGGGTCTGAGGAAGCTTCCTGAAGAACTTCCTCCCAAGACAAATGAAGTGTAGATTATTTTAATGACTCAAAGTTTCAGGAAAGCTGCATCAGGAGTCGATATTTTCAGTGTTGATCAAATCCTGACTGACATTCGTCAAAACTGCGATTCCACTGATTCTGCAATTTGACATTACAGCAATGAATTTACTTAATGAAAGTTTTTAAATTTATTACTGAAGACACGTTTTTCACATCACATGAATCGCATGATTAACGACTAGATGTTACTTCTGGTGGAAACCATGAACAAGACAACAGGAAGTGGTGGGAGGAGGATGGCACAGCATGATTAATGATTTAACGCTTAAACAAACTTAGCGTTAGCGTCTGCTAATTTTTTCATGTGTTTAGCATTGCTTCCTCTAATTTGTGTGTAACGGTTTAATGTTAGCTTCCTCTAATTTTTCTGATAGTGATTTAGCGTTAGCTTCCTCTAATTTTTGCAGATCTAAGATTCTTTTTAAGTGAAGTCGTGGTTAGTAAACCTAACCTTTTGAATCATTCAAAAATAATATAAACTGGAAAACGTCAGGCCTCGACTCTAAACCTTTTTTATATATTTCACTGTTGAGACATAAAATCATTTGTAGACGGACCTGAAGCTAAAAGGTGTTTAGCCGAGTTCCTAAGCAACAGAAAGCTTATTATAGTTTTTATCAAGGAAAACTAAAGCCAGTTACAGCTGAAATGTTGGCACTTTATCTTCTGTTTTAGGAATAAAACCCCAGTAATAAAAGTTTCCTCCTTCACTAATGACCCATATTATTTTTATCTGTGCAGGAAACTTTCACTTTCACTGCTTAGCTGCATTTTTCTTTCATTTGAAGTCGCAGAAATTAGAGGGAGGATGGCGAAATGATTAAATGATGAAGTGAGCGTGCTTTAGGATGCAGACTCACACACACACACACACACACACACCATCCCCGCCCTGCAGGGAACCGTCCTACTGTTGCTTGTAAATCATCCTAATTACCCTCGTACGCCACGGGTTCCTCTTTCGTCACCTTATGATTCAGATGTTCTACCAAAGACGCGCAGCTGGTTGTCTTTAATTCCCTCCATCTTTTGCTGCTGAGGTGACAAGAAGTCAATAAAGGTTAATATCCGAGCGTTGGAGACTGAACCGAACTGCCAGTCAGACAGTAAATCAGAGCCATGACTCCATTCAGATGCTGCAGTTACACTAAACCAGACTGTAGAGCTGCAGGTGTTTTTGTTTAAATCCTTGAAAATTCTTGAAATTTAAGGTTTGGAAATTGCTTCATTTCTGTATAAACTCCTTAAAAGTGCTTGATATTCAAACTGCGCAGTTCTGTAATGAAGTTCAATTTAATGTTTGATTAAAAGCCTAAATTTGGAAAACATTATTGACACTTGAATCTTACATCTTAATTAAAAGGCACATTTCTTCCTCGCTGTCTGAAGTTTAATCAGAAAAACTTTTCTTGTTTTTGTCAGTTGTAATTTCCAAAATTATTTCTATTTGCTAAAGTTCAGAAAACCTTTTGAAGATTATATTATGTTTAGGGCTGTTGTAAACGAATATTTTAGTAATCGAGTAATCTATCGATTATTCTTACGATTAATCGAGTAATCGGATTAAAAAAAATTACAAAATGAAATATTGGTAAATCTGGCATAATGCCGGTGTTACTATCAGATATCAATATCAGT